TTGCGTGGCGAAGCGGTATCGGTGCGAGTCCCGTTGGGGGTGTTGAGGAAACTCTGGTGAGTTGGAGCCAGCAGTCGATTCAGAATGGGAAAACACACGAGGGGTTGTAGGAGAATGCAAATGTGAGTCGGTGAAACACCTTCAACAAGATCGATGTTGGAGAGTACCTTCCATTTGGAAGATGAGGAAAAGGTCGATCTAATATGACATGGCCTTTTGCCCAATTTCGTAAAGTATGAATTCTTTCGCTGAGTATGTTTGTCACAGTACAGACGAACGCTTAGCACAGGTTCATCGGGGTGTGAGGACTGTGAGCCGATGACATTTTCGCACAATCCAGATTACACTGTGCGGCAATCTTCTGTCGGCTTCCAGTCAGACCAAATCACGAATTGCTTCCAACCAACTTTTCCTTCGAAATAGAAAGTCGTACCTTTCAGTTGGCTTGAAGAGGCGTGTGGAAGGGATTCGAAAGGTGTAGGGGTTGTGACTGTAGATTTGTGCGAATAATTCCTCGGCATATCGCCCTGCTGAGATTTGGTCCATCATGTGAAGCACCTCGTCAGAGCAGGACAACATATTTTTTACGATAATCCACAAAGTACAAAGTCAAGAAAGGCGCCCGACTACAAAGCGACCTGCTTTGTATGGCCTAACTTTGTCCACTTAATGGGATTTGGAGATCATATGCTTTTCCTACATGCTGTTGAAAAGTAAAGGGCTGCAAATGGAGCGTGAAAAGGATGCACTTGAATGCAAGAAGAAAGGTTGGGTTTCGAGGAATCTTTTGTTTCATAATTGGTGAGCTTACTTCCGTTTCGTGTGAAAGGGTTGCGTGAAGAGATTCGAAGCTCGGTTCCACCAGAAGACGACGACGGATTCTTCTTGACCAGCTGTAGATTGGCTTTACTGGAACATTCTTGTTGACGCTGTTTCCGAGGCAATCTGCTTCGATTCCGGTGAAAAGGGGCTAAGCTTTCGTCCATCATATGACGTACCTTATCAAAGCCAGGTAACATCGTCACAACAAAATTGAAGCAAACGAGTCGAGAAAACTCACCGGCAAATCCCTAAAAAGTGGTATATAAACTCTACATCTGGTCATATGTCATCTTCGAAGCCTGTGAGTGTGTCTGTTTCTGCATGTGTATGTGCCTGTTTGTGTTCGCTTGTGCATGCAACCAGCAGTGATCTCCTCTTTCCTACAAACATGTTAGAACCATCACTCCGATTGTGCACAGTCGGACACACTTTGGTTTTTGGTCTCCAGGCAAGAGAAAAAGAGTGAGCTAAAAGTACACAGAAGTGATTATAATTAGAACGAAGACAAGAAAAGACTACAAAGAGAAATTGGGTTTCGATGACTCTCCTGAGATAGCAATGTTGGGGGGACTTTCATTTCGTATGAAAGTGTATGAAGTAGAGATTCGTTGGCCGACCTTACCAGAAGAAGAGGACGGATGAGTCCCGTCCAACCAACCAAACCAGATTTACGAGATTACGCAGATCCAGTCTTGCCTCTCTTTGAGGGATTAAACATTAATGATCCCAGACGGAGAGGTTAGGACAAGTGGTTTCGCAACTAGAGCTCATATCTTATCATCTCAACCATACTCGTTCACGGACTTACGCAATCTCGGTGAAGGCTTTCTCTTGGGTCGTTGGTCCTTGATGATCAGATTATGACATTGGCCGTTTGATAACTCAGATTTACGACCGGTATTACGTATAGACGCTGGCACACACACATACACAAATATATATATATATATATATATATACACACACGCACACACTCGAGCAAAAGTAGTAGGAGCAGTATGAAAGATAATGAGCTAAACCAGTCTATTTCTATCAAGGTTTTTAATTTACTTTCGGCTTAATTGAGTCTATTTAAGAGGTGTGATTGAGCCGGATAGTTTTCTTTACTTGGCGTCTAGTAACGTGATACTTTTACAGAAATGAGATCCAGTTCTGATGATGTCGATCAAATGATGGACGAAAATTCAGCCATTTTCACCCGAAACGAGGGAGGAGGTCTCGTGAATTGCGTCAACATGAAGGTCGTCGAAAACGCGATTCATCCGTCCTCTTTTTCTGGCGAGATCGACCAACGAATCTCTTCTTCATGCACTTTCATAAGAAATAAAAGTGTGATCCAACAAGAAAAGACGGCGGCTCAATTCCCTGTCTGTCCTTCAGTCTATGAATTGAGCACAAGTAATTTTTCAAAGGTATGAAGACTGTGTGGTCGCAGTCTCTTTTCGTTGTATACAAGTTGTTTGACCTTTTTTCGCAACTTGGTCATAATGGTTCATCTAAGTCGTCCTACCAACATGACCAAGTTGCGGAAACAAGGTCAAAAAACTTCTATAAAAATAATTTTT